TCTTTAAAATAAATATAATTAGAATATTAACTAGACTAATAAAATAATAAATTTATTTCTTTTTTAAACTAATATTAAAATATTTCTAAAGAATTTCAAGCTTTTTTTTTATTAAAATATATTAAAAAAATATCTATTAATTAGAATTCTAATTCTAAATTTATATAGTAAAATATTATATAATAATTAAATAGTATATCTATAGCTTTTATAAAAAATATTTAAAGAAAATTCTAATATTTTTTAAGAAATATAACTATTTTATTTATAATAATAATAATAATTCTTAAGTTATTTATTATAAAACAAATAATTAATAGAAAAACATATATTTTATATTTTACTATTTTAATAAACTTTCTAATATTTAGAACTTTAATTTTCTATAATTAAATTTAGTATTTTTATATTATTTTCCTATAAGAAATTAAAAAATTAATTTAATAAAACTATAAAAATCCAAATATTATATTAATATAATTAAAATCAAAATTATATAATATAAAACATATATTAGCCTCTTCTTTTAGTTCTTTAATATATTTTTAATAATAATTCTAAAAATATAATTTTTATATAAATAGATTTTGGTTTTATTTAATAAAATTAAATAAATTACTTTTAATATTAATAGAATTCCTATATTTAAAACTAGTTTTCTTTTTATATAATTAGTCTTTATACCCGAATTAACTAATACTTTAATTCTATTTATACTTTCTTATTTTAATAATAATTTTAATTATTATTCTCGTTTTAAGAGCTTTATTTTTTATAATATAAATAAATATAATTATTATAAAATATATTTGTTTTCTGGCTTCTTTAATTCTAAATACTTATATATTTTATAATTAGACTTATTATAGTTATAATAAGTTAGTTTCTTCTAATTTAGATAAATAATAATATAATAATTTTCTTTTTAGTAAATAAAATAAATTATATCTAGTTTTATAAATTCTAATATAAGTATTATATTAGATTCTATTATTATATCTTTACTATTTGGGTTTTATAAACCTTATAATAGAAATATATTTCTTTTTTATATTTCTTTATTATTTCCTTTTTTATTTTTTTATTTCCTTTCTTTTATTATTTTATTAGTTTATTATTATATTTCTATTAAATAAATAAATTTAAATTATTTTTAATTCTTATAATTATAAAAATAAGCTTTTTTCTTTTTTATAAAATATTTCTTTAATAATTAATCTCGTTCTAAATTTGTTCTTTTAAGCTATTAAATAAATTCATATATTTTAAATTATTTAATATTCTTAAACTTAATAAATATACTTTTATTATAGTTTTCTAATTTATAATATTAATATTTACTAATTATTTCTTATATTTCTAGATATTTCTGGCTATATTCTTAAAATAGGAAATATAATATATAACCTTTATTATATTTATAACTTAAATAATTCTATTATTTTTATATTATTTTAACTTTATTTAATAAAAGAAATCCTGGGTCTTTTTAATATTCTTTTTTTTATAAATTAGTAGTTTTCGGGTTTTTAAAGTCTTTTAAATTAAGGATATTATTTGAAATATAATAGGCTTTATATTAGATTTTTAAATATATTTAAAATAATAGATTTAAGCTTTTAGTTTTTCTAAATTCTTTTTTTATTATATCTCTATTTCCAATTTAGTAATATAATAATAAATCGCTATTAATTTCTTTACTATTATTATTCTATTAGCTAATTCTAGAAATATCTGAATTCTATTTTCTTTTTTTAATTAGGTAATATAAAAAGTATCTAATTAAGTACTTTTCTAGATATTTAATTAGATTATTCTAATAATAATAAAAGTACTTTTCTAATTAATATTCTAGCTATTAATAATTTCATTTATTAATAGCTTAATTATCTTATAATAAACTATTTCCCGAAAATTAAATTAATTAGAATATAAAATATAGAATAATATTTATAAATATAACTAATTCCAAGAATTAATTCTAAAAAAAAAACTAATTAATATTCTTTTCTAAAATTAAAAGTATTTCCTTATATATTTTCTAGTATTTAGTTAAATATATAAAGCCTTTTATTTAATTAGGAAATATAATTCTATATAATTTATTTAATTTATTTAATTCTAATTATAAGCTTTATTTAAAATAGAAAATTAGATCTATAATATCTAATATTTATTTATATATTATTATATATATTTATTATATTTTATTATATTAAAATTAATTATTAGTAATTAAATTAAAACCTAGAAAATAATATTTAATATATCTAAAGAATTATAAATTATATATAATTATAAGGTTTTATATTAATCTAAAATTAAAAAAAAATTTAATAAAGAAATTTAAAGCTAAAAAAAATAAAAATAAGCTAATTAAATATTACTAATTTATTAAAAATATTATTTAAATTTTTAGTAAAATATATTCTAAATATTCTATAGTCTTTATTTTTTAATAATATAATAATATTTCCTAAAAGTAAATTATATTATAAATAATTAAGCTTTTAGTAAAATATAAGTAATATATTAAGAAATTTCTTAATACTATTTAATAGCTTTTAATAATACTTTTAAAAGACCCAGAAAATAAATACTTATTTTATATAATATTTAATTTAGATAAAATATATAATAGCTAGTATTATATAATTAGTTTTAGTTAAGATTCTAAACAATAATTCAAATCAAGCTTGCTTTTAAAGCTCGGTATTTTAATAGTTTTAGCTATATCTATTTATTTACTACTATATCTCACTTTTTCTCTTTAGTTTTAAATTCTTAAAATATAAGAAATTATTAATCTTTAAGCCTCGTTTTATTACTTTATTTCTATTATTATAAAATGTTTGTTTTATTTAAGTTTCTAGATAGCTATATATATAATAATAACAGAAATAAAATAATATTAAATAAAATATTAAATAACTTTAATATTATATATAAATTAAAACTGAAATTATTTTCTATAATATATTAAATAATAAAAAGAAAAAAGGGAATTATTTAGATATTATTATATAATTTAATTAATTTACTTATAATAATAAAGAATTCTTTTTCCGATTTATAAATAAGAAAGCTTATATTAAATACAAGTATTTTTTTAAAAAAAATTATTACTTTTAATTATAAATTATATAGCTTTTTATAAAACATATAATATTTTAAATAAATATTAGAATAATTTCTTCTAAATATATTAGCTTATTTAATTATTAAATATATATATTAATAATCTTTTTAAAATATTATTAAAGAAAAAACAAAGCTATATATTAATATAATAAAAAAATAATTTAATTATATAAAAAAGTAAACTATTTCTAAAAAAAGAATTATAAGTATTTATATTATTTTTAATATACTCAAATCCTTATAAAATATAAAAAGAAATATAATTATTTAACTCTTTTATAATACTAGATTTTATATAGATTTTAATAAATCTAAAGATTATTTAATAAAAATAAAGGAATTTAAGAATAAACTAATTATATTTAAAAACTCTATTAATAATATAATTAAAGAAATAGTATAATTAAAGAATTATTATAAGAAATCTAATATTAAAAAATCGAATAAATAAAAGAGAAAAAAGTTAAAAGAGAAATTAGTAATTTAATAAAATATATAAAATAAGGCTAATACTAATATAATAATAAAAAAATAATAATTAGAAAAATAAATTATATATAATAGTATATAAATTAATTAATTATATATACTTATATAAATTATAATAGTTTAATAATTAATTAGAAATAGAATAATTATTATAGTTAATAGTATAATATTTCGTATACTATAACACGTGACTTCCCGATACAGCTAGACCGAAACCCACTCTCACTGATTTCTATAGTATTTCCCAAGAAGCTCTTTATGTATTATATATAAAGAGCTCCCTAGGGACAGCTCACTGCAATGTATAAAGAGCTTCCTGGGGGGAGGGGGCTCCCAGATAGCTCCCTGAGAGGCAGCTCGCTAGGTAAGAGCTAGGGTGCCTCAGGCAACCATGGAGCCTTATATATTCTTGAGGCACACCTTACCAAATCTATATTATCTTCCTCCCTCTTATACCTTTTCTCTGGGGGATAGCTCGCTGCAATATATAAAGAATTCTCTGGAGTATAGCTCCCTGGGGAATAGTACCAGGGAAACAGCTTCTGGGGGGCCTTGGAGGGGTAGCTTCTTGGAAGGCAGCTTTATGCGAGGCAGCTCACTGCAATATATAAAGAGCTCTCTGGGAGAGATAGAGGGTAACTCCCTAGGAACAGCGTATTGCAATATATATAGAGCTCTCTAGGGGCCAGCTTACTACAATATATAAAGAGCTCTCTTGGGAAGAGGGAGCGTGGGCAGCTCCCTGTGGGGCAGCTCACTGCAATACATAAGGAGCTCCTTATCAATAGTAAGTACAAGTCTAAGTATAATTTCAGTGTAATTTTATACCTAATTTTAAGTAACATGCAATTCGTGGTTTTGATTTCGCGGTTTTCGCGGTTTTGGTGGTTTGTTATTCTGCAGTTTTGCAGTTTGGCCCTTTACCACCTAAAATCCAGCCCTACAGGAGGAGCAACGGCTTGGCTGCCTGTCTTATCGAAAATGATTCCAATGCCACTGGCAATTGGGACGGTGCCTCCTCCAAGAGCGGGCGGCAGTCGAAGTCGACGGTTATTCTTGTCCTGGGGATCCGATCACGACTGGATGACCTGAGGTAATTGAAATATAATTTTAAAATATTAATTTATTTTTATAAAATTTAAAATTTCATTTATTTCTTAGTATAATTTTTTCTTAATAAGTGAAAAGTGATGAAAAGTGAGAATTATATATTAATTAATTAATATTAATAAGTTTAAATGAAAAAAAATGTAATTGCCTTTTTTTTAATATATATTATTTGAAATATTACTAGTATTTACTAATATTTTTAATAAGTTAATAATGCTCTTAGATTTTCTTAACAGTAATTAATTAATTCGTCCACTACTCTAGCTACTTCCGCTTGTTGTAAATGAAATAACTTTAATAAAACCGCCTAAGGTTTTTGTAGCAAAATTGAAAATTCCATAGCGATAGCCCGTGAAGTATTGCCAAGTGCTATTTAATGTGAATATTGAGCCAAATGATGTAAAGCTCGAACCATTAGTAGAATAAGAGAATGTAGCCGACTTGGCGCCATTTGGTCGAACATCCATAGAGACTCGTAGATAAATCCTGCTAACAGAGATAGATTTGCTGGCTATAGTATTCCCAGTGCTCGTTGTGGCCCACTTGTTGCTTGAGTCTTGAGTAGCACCCGACACTTGGACGAGGTTGTATGTACTACCACTACGGGTAACACCAATCCACGCAGTGGAGTCCCGGAAAGCCGCAAGGCCACATGAGTCGCCGTCAGCCATACCAGAAAAGTCAATTTCCACGGTTCCGATTGGAGAGCCACCGTCAGTACGGTGTGTGAGGGTGTTTCGTGACTTGTATAGGTCATTGGTTACCGTGGCCATGTAGAGGGTCAGACTATTGTTGATGGAGAATTTGGTGGTGTCGGGAGCAAAATTCCATTCCCACCCTGGGCCAGGCGAGGTGCCGGAGAAAGCGTCAGTACCGTTCCGGGCTGGCAGCGGCGCAGCTGATGTTCCAGGGAAAGGATAGGAAACCGCCCATTTATTGCTTGGAATTGTTAGAGTTGGCCAATTGTTACTCCATGTAATCGGTGCAAGAATAGGGATTCGACCAGCCGGGTCGTGCAAGACATGAAGTACCAGTCGCCGTTGGGTGCTTGAACAAAACTGCCCTGGTCAATGAGTCCACCACCGGGAATAGGTGAAGAAACCCCAGTCTGGAGCGTTTGATACGTCCAGGTTCCATAGATGGAGGAGGATCTCCAGACATAGGTAGTGCCACTGGGTCTATCACCAAGAACGTAGTAAAACCCATTTATCTTTAAATTGTTAGTCACAGGGTCTAATCTTGTAGAGACCGAGAATCCTAACCTTGTACAATCGTGATCCCTCCTCGCTGGCGCCGCCAGGGCCGGAAAACAATTGTGCTGTTTTCGTTATGCCCAGCCCATCGGAAGACAATGTGGCTATACTAATGTTGGTCTGGCCGTAAACGATATACATCGTATCGTCATCATCAATTAGGAGACCGCAGTCATAAAAGCAATGACTGATCGTTCCTGCCTGTGCCCAGGGGCCTGTAACTGAGGTGGCGGTATAAACGTAAGTTTTGGAAAAGCCGATGCAGCCGTACCAATACCACTTGCCCTTGCTCGCGCGATACCGCATGGTAGAAGCCCAAACACCTGACACATATGCCGGAGTATCTTGCATCTCGAAGGTGCTTCCAAAAGCTGCGACAGATGGTACGGAATGACCAATTAGTTCCCAGTTGACGAGATCCAGGGATTTGAGGATTGGCGCTCCGGGTGAGAATTGAAAACTTGATGCTGAGAAATAGTAGTCGCCATCAGGGCCTTTGGAAACATCGTTATCAGGGAAGTCCGAGTAGATGAGAGGGTTGGTGAAGGTCGATTGTGCTACCACTGCGGGTAGATAGCTGGCATAGCAGACAGAAAGAATTCGTAGAAACAGCATAATGGCGAGAATCAAAAAACTAGTAGCCAGAAGAGTCCTATTAATAGTCTGTCGCTCTTCAGAGACTGAATGCAGGAGTGTGAAACTCGACAATGACTGTTTAACTTGTATCCCAGGGATCAAACATCCGGACACAACTTATTATGACCATGGTGAATTTTCGCACAACCATGAAACCAAGCATTGATAGCATGATATTGATTTGGGGGAAAACCAAACCCCGCCGCTCCTCCCCCCAACATTCCCTACTTGCTTTTTCCCAACAGGCTTTAATAATACGGATAATAGTCGGTGCGCCGGAGCGGCGACGCCAAACTGATTGGTATTAAACCTCGTTATAGGGCGTTGGCACAGGCGCAATAGCTAGAACTACCCCGCTACAGTGCGGTAAAAAACCGGCATGAATCCGCTAATTTAGCGCCGTTCACGGCCAATCCTCTGCACATGCTTTACTCTCCTTATTTACTTTGATTTCTAAATAACAACGTATTTGAATATAAATCTGAGTTTAAAAGACAAAAGCGCATATTCTAATTATTCTATACCTTAAGTCTCATAAGTTATAAATACGTAAATGTTAATTTATTAAGTATTTGAAATCTCTTCGATTTTTAGTATTCGTGCGCTCGCAATGCCTCTGACCCCTCAAAATCGCTCAAAAATACATGTAACCGCAGTTTTTCGACGTTTAATCCACTATTCATTACTTTAAATTTTGTTGTATAAGAGAAGGTAATTCTATATATAAATAATATTCTATTAAGTGCGGAGGCTTTTCTATAGAGAGGTAATAGTTTAGAATCTAGAAAACCGCATTTTGGACGATTTTTGGTAAAGTTTGTGTATGCCTAGCAAAAACATTTCAAAATCATTACTTTTTACTAAGTTACTTGTGGGCGAAGGAATTGAGGCACGGGTCGCGGTTAGCCGAGCTATCCAATATTGGGGCGAGAAATAAACACAATTAATTATCGTGATTAGAAATACCTATAGAATCAATGATCTAAATCATTTAGCAGAAAAGGTAAAGTTATATTTTTAATATAAGCTTCAGGATATTTATAACAAAGCAAGTACTTTTATATAGGTAATCTTGAAAGGGTCGACTTTTGGTGTGAACTTGGGTTCTCGGCTGCACTCTGCAGCAATTCTTTTAACCAGTAGTGATTTATATATAACTTCTCAATTATAAATTTAAACTGTAATAGAACTAGGAATATACTGGACCTATATAGTTACTATAATTATATAAAATTTGATTCTATTTAATTTCGTGGTATAGAAGTTGTTAAAGTAAGTTCACGAAATCAAGTGAGCGCTGGAGAGGGTGCACAGCTGAGGGGACGCGACGCTATATTAGCATCTCACGCTGGTGTTTCACGGCACTGTACTAAGCGAGTAAGCCAGCACCTAGTTCAAGAATTCCATCAAATTTTCAACGAAAAACCCCAGATTAATTCTGAATAAAACCTTTAAAAAGTTCTCGTGTTTTGGCCAGTCTTTTCAAGCCCCTGACGAGGCTTCATATGACCATTAAACATGGATGCAGTAATATATCGCAAGATCCACCGCTAGAATTAAATTAACAGTCCAGGCACCGACAAACTAAGTATGAAACTTCCGTTTGAGATTCCCAAAGAATGAAAACAACAATAATTTAAAGAAGTTTTATTAAATAAGATCTTCTCCGTTGCGGTTGGGGCTAGATATTCCGAATGCTTTATAGCGGGGTCTTCAAAACGTGGCTTCTTGCAACGTCACTGTTTGGAGCGCATCTGCGTGGCATTACAGCAGCCTAAATTCAGATGGCCGTCACCAATCGCTTCGCTTACGGCAACTGCACTTTAATCTTAACCGCACCATCGGACTCAAACTCGAAATCGACTTTTCAATACCCACGAATCTAATACGAGATATGCCTCCTCCGCTGCTAGTGCAGGATTAAAAGGCATGGAAAATAAAACCGATCGACTGGACTCAATTATTCCTCCACTGTATTTTGTTGCTATAGTATAGCTCCAAATCGACTGCGGGGAAGCTACAGGCCTGAAAGCTCAGATTCCGAAATCGTCTGCCTACCAAAGGAGATTTTAAGTTTCAAGACACTCCACCGTCACTATCTGCTACCGAGGTACAGCCCATAATGATAGTAATAGCGCTAGCAGGGGTCAACAGAAAACTCGTAATTTCAACACTTGACAACTTTTGCTACACAAAACATAAAAAGTTCATTTAAACGCTGTAAATATCCATAACAGTACCGTATGGTAGTAGTACATTTTTTTCAAGTTTTTGCGATACCAGGTTGAAAAGTTCGGACCCCTGCTAGCGCTATTATTATCATTATGGGCTGTACCTCCGTAATCCTGTGTGATATTTATCCTAAACCAAGGGTCTTTAGCCGTCCCCAATCACCCTTTCCTTGGCTTTTGTTCCGTTCCAAAGAAAGGTTCATAAAAACCTGCTATCCTTCTGCATTTCTGGAGTCCGAAGTTGCTGCTTCCCGGGTTATTATGTTTTAGTGGTTCCATTATTGTTTCACTATGTTGAGCAGCATAATTTTATATGCCTTCCTGTTGGCTTTTCCATCGGCTGCAAAAGGGCAGTGGGATGCCTCACGATTTACATGGTACACTTCCCCGGCTTCGGATTTCGCATCTAGCGTACCTATCGGAAATGGCAGAGTGGCTGGAACGGTTTGGGGGGGCGCCTCTGAGCTGGTATCCTTGAATGAGAACTCCATCTGGAGCGGGCCTTGGCGAAACCGTGTGAATCCAAAGGCACTAGGTGCCTTGCCAAGCATCCGTTCACTGCTCTCATCCGGTAATCTTACTGCAGCAGGCCAGTCTGTTCTCGCAAATATGGCAGGCAACCCAACCTCGCCACAGGGATACCAACCTCTCGGAAATCTGTCTCTGGAATTCGAGCATTCGAGTTCTGGAATGTCGTCCTATACCCGGTACCTAGATACTTATGAAGGTACTGCATTCGTCACGTACAATTACGCAGGTGTCAACTATACGCAAGTCTTCCTCGGCTGTTTTTCCTTGAAACTCTCCCCTTATATGTGTTAATTCCAAACATTAGCCGTGAATACATTGCAAGTTACCCGGCTGGCGTGTTGGCTGTCCGACTCTCCTCTAGCCAAGCTAAAAAGCTCAATGTCAAAGTCTCCTTGTCTCGCAGCAAATGGGTCCTTGATCAACATTCGAATAGTAGTAGTAGCATAGTTGGGACCAACTCTATTATTCTAAAAGGCAACAGTGGTCAGTCGAGCGGGGCAATCACGTTCTCTTCCGAAGCAAGAGTTGTCAACCACGATGGTAGGTCTCCAAACCTAATTTGCTGAATCGTAACTTGCAAGTATCCGTTAACTCTTGGTAGGTACTGTTAGCAGCGATGGAAAGTCGATTTCCGTAACCAGTGCTACAATTGTTGATCTCTTTTTCGACGCCGAAACATCATATCGATACTCAAGCCAGACCGCTTGGGAAGTGGAGCTAAAGCGCAAATTGGATGCAGCCGTGACGTCGGGCTATAATGAAGTACGAAGTGCAGCAATTTCAGACAACACGGCACTGATCGGACGCATGAGCCTCGACCTGGGTTCTTCTGGCTCCGCAGGAAATCAACCGACCGACACACCTATCACAAACTACAAGGGGAGTCCCAACAATGACCCTCAACTGGCCACGCTGATGTTCAATTTTGGTCGCTACCTTTTGGTGTCTTCCTCCAGGGATACTGGTGGTTCGAAGTCTCTGGCGGCAAACCTACAGGGCATTTGGAACAAAGACTTCAGCCCCCCTTGGCAGAGCAAATACACTATCAACATTAATATCGAAATGAATTACTGGCCAGCAGAGGTTACTAATCTTCAGGAGACACATGCAGCTCTCTTTGACCTTCTTGATGTAGCGCGTGCCCGAGGAACAGGCTCGGCAAAAATACCTGAGGCATCGATACCGGTATCGATAGTAGAGGTATTTTTCAGGTATCGCAAGGAATCGATAGTATCGATACCAGAATCGATTCTTACCCCAAAAATTAACTCTTTCTTTTATTATTTAAATTATATAATAATGTATTATTATATAATTCCTTTAATTTCTAGTCTTTCTATTAAAAGAAATACTTACTATTATTAATAAAAGTTAATAATATCTTAAATTTAAAATAGCCCTCGTATTCGGAGAATTAAGCCCCGTATTCGTATTTCTTATCAAGACGCTAAATATATAAGCGAGCCTCACGAAAATCTCAAAAGCTCATTTTTACTTAAAATAGCCGCATTGAGATAAGTTTTGGTCTAAAATATAAGACAAGTAGCTAAATAGAAAGCCTAAATCAAGTAGAATATTTGCGCTACCAAAAGTTTTCTTATAAGAGAAGTGGTTCTAAAGTTAATTGCAATTAAAGGGGGGAATTGGGTTCGGGGAATCGATACTACTATCGATACTATCGATACCTTACGATTCTGGCATCGATACCTATCGATACCGGAAATTAAGGAATTTTTGCCGAGCCTGCCGAGGAATGGAGATGGCAACAAACATGTACGGATGCACAAACGGCGGCTTCGTATTACACCACAATATTGATCTCTGGGGTGACGCTGCTCCCACAGATTACGGAACTCCATACATGATGTGGCCTATGGGTGGAGCTTGGTTGTCTCTCCATCTTATGGAGCACTATCGATTCACCGGCGATAAGTCCTTTTTGCAAAATCGTGCTTGGCCGGTACTCCAAAGTGCCGCCAACTTCTACTATTGCTACCTCTTCACGCACAATGGATCCTGGAGTACCGGTCCGTCGCTTTCTCCTGAAAATTCCTTTGTTGTCCCTTCGAACATGGAAACGGCCGGTAAGAGCGAGGCTATAGACATCGCCCCGACTATGGACAACTCGATATTATACGAACTCCTCAACGCCGTCATTCAAACTTGTAATGTCTTGGGAATTACAGATAGTAACCTCACAAACACCAAAAACTATCTTTCAAAGATCAAGCCACCACAAATTGGGTCAAAGGGTCAGATTCTGGAATGGCGCAACGAGTATGCCGAGACTTCTCCGGGACATCGTCATATGAGCCCTATTTTTGGTCTCTTCCCCGGATCTCAGATGACTCCTCTGAAGTCCTCAAGTCTCGCAGCCGCTGCCAAAGCTCTTGTTGACAACCGAATGAGCCACGGTTCGGGAAGCACAGGCTGGTCTCGCACCTGGGCCATCAACCTATATGCTAGACTGTTCGAAGCCGATACAGCATGGAGCAATGCAATATCCTTCCTGCAGAAATTCCCCACCAACAACCTATGGAACACCGATACGGGTCCAGGGACTGCATTCCAGATCGACGGTAACTTTGGTTTCGTGTCTGCGATTGCGGAAATGCTTCTTCAAAGCCACCAAGTAGTGCATCTTCTTCCAGCTCTTCCATCCGCAGTACCTACGGGAAGCGTCAAAGGTCTCGTGGCGCGCGGAAACTTCGTTGTGGACATTACCTGGTCTGGTATGGCACTCACAAGTGCAACCATCACGTCAAAAATTGGCGGCACGCTTGCGATCTGTCTTCAGGCTGGCAAGGCCTTTTCTATTAACGGGGCTATATACTCCACACCAATTACCGCAACGGCTGGGGGGGTCTACACTATTCGTCCGGTGTAAGGTTCAGCTTTTTGCTTCGGGATTAAAGGGTTTTCTGTATCTTTGTTGTACCTGATCTTTTATTTTCGGGGTTTTGCTCCTCTAGCCACTATAACTAATATGTCTCCTGCTTTTCATTGACTTCCTCGCATGAACTTCTCGTTCATCCTAGGGAGTGAAGTGATCCTGTCTGGCCTTTCGTCTAAGCGAATCAAATTTATAGCTCTTGCACTGGCTCAACTTGAGAAGTTTATTCATTATTTATACCCGCGCAAATTTTCAAAGACTCTGCTAGTTGCCATTCAGGTGACCTTTCGCACTAGATTAGCTCAGCTATAGAGTCATATAAGCCTTCTCTTAATTTATACCTCTTATATATTAGATATTTTAATATATATTAATTTTAATAATTATTTGCTTAATACAAAATATATAATAATATAAAAGTAAAATTATTATAAATTAAATAAATTAAATCTATTATATTTATAAGATATTTCTTAATAATTAATAAAGTAATAAAATTACTAAAATATAAAAATTATTAATATTAATTTCTTTTATAAAGTTTAAAGAAACTTCTTTAAATAAAAGACTTATAATAGCTAGTATTATATAAGTATTATAAGTTGGTTTTAGTTAAGGTTTCAAGCTAAGATTTCAAACTATAATTCAAATCAGGCTCGGATTTTAAATTAAGTTTGGTATTTTAATAGTTTTAGTTATATTTATTTATTTATTACTATATCTTACTTCTTTTTTCCTTAGCTTTAAATTCTTAAAATATCGAAATTTTTAATTTTTAAGCCTTATTTTATTACTTTATTATTATTATTATAAGATTTCAATAGCTTGTAATAGCTTGTAATAGCTTATAATAGCTTATAATATAAATAATATTCGATATTTAATATTTATTTATATTTCTATTATTATTTTTAATAACTAAGTAACTTTAAATACTTATCTCTAAGGTAATTGAATTAACTATTGAATTTAAGCTATTCTTATATTCTTATTAAAATAAATTATAAAATCCCTTAATATATATATATATTATTTAATAAAGATTTAAAGTTCTTTTTTTTTTTAAAAAAAAAAGAAGATATGCCATTATACTGCCTCTCGAAACGGTGCTCTTTCATATACCTTCTTTTACTAGACTACTTGACTTGCTTATTCTGTTCACGCCCGTTCGTTAATACGAGCGATTTGGGAATCGGGTACTATTGGGGCTAAGCGAGGGGCCCGATTCGCTAATAAAAAGGCCCAATTTTAAAATAATATATAACTTTCTAATAAAACACAAAGGCCAAATTTTAATTAAATAAAAAGCATTAATACTTATAAGAAACTTAAATGAATATTACCTAGATTAAATTCTATTAAAGATAAAAAGATTTATATAATTATATATTTTAAAAAACTATTTTATAATTAAAATTATATATAGTTCTAATAAAAGGCTTTAGCTAAAATTACTTAAATAGTATTATTAACTAAATTATTTTTAACAGATCCTACTAATAGAATTTTATTAATTTATTAATTTGAAAATATTATAATATTTTCAAAATTCGCTCGTATCCGACCTCGGATTTATGAACCGGGGCTCGCTTAAGTAGACGATTGAGCAATCGGGCCCCTCGCTTAGCCCCGATAGCGCCCGATTCCCAAATCGCTCGTATTGACGAACGGGCGTGAACAATTCGAATTTACTTATACATTCCGATTTTTTGTTTCAATAAACTACCCCTGTCTTTATTTACAGCAATACCAGTGCCAGTACCATTATTCGGTCCCGAACATTGCCTTCAACCCTTGACGTGATACGGCAGAAGAATGCAGGAATGCTTTAGATATTTTTTTACTTCCCTCGGTAGGTATGCTGCTTTTGAAATTTAGAAATTCTCTAATTTGAGCACTTCATATGCAGGCTCCTCGTATGGATGAGCACTAGAAGGGCCATTAGCCCAGCCCCGCGCTTTACCAGTTGCACGCCAAACTAGGTTTGGATTGAACTGGGGCAGTTAAAACCAGTAGAAATCCTTCAGAACCTACTTCTTCAACGCCTCAACGGCCTTCTTCACCACATCCTCACCCAAGCAAAGTGTTTCCACCCTAGCCTCCTGGACCTCTTCAAGTTCGCTCACTTTCCCAATATTCGGATTCGCAGATCCGCCAGGGCGGAATTGGCCAGTGCCCAAAGAAACCCAGCAGCATTCCGTGTAGTTTCCTGGTCCGGGATAACGTCCTGCCCCGGCGCCAAAGATGGCGGACTTGCAAGCTGCGAGGGCAGATGGCGGGACGAAGAAGATAAGCTTGAAGCGTGTAACAGTGGACATGGCGATTGTTCTTGGACAGCCGAGGAATAGGTCGTATCAGTAATTGTTTGGCTAGGTGATGAGTGCAGTGGTGTGGCGTGCTGTGGTGAAATTCTTGGCTTTGAATTGAATCATACGGTGCGCGGGAAGAGTCAACTATGCACATATGCGTGATCAGGTGGGCGCATCTCGCTAAGACTACCCCTACGGAAAGCCGTAAGTACAGAAGGAAGTAAGGATCACATGTGCTAGTGCAAAACGCAAAACGCAAAATACGAAATCTGTGACGGCGGGATCGAAGCAATGACCAAGGCTCAAAGATCCAAGAATCTCATGTATTGAAAATACTAAGCTAGGGGCAAGAAGGAGAGAGAAGGGGAGAAGGAGAGGATAAAAGGAGGGGAATACTAGCTAAAACCACTGAAGCGCTGGCTGGTTATGTGAAACCAGTCATGTGATAGCCACCCCCCTGATGACCTGATGAAATTAGGGGCCTGAGGCCCCTAATAGGCTTAGTAAGCCCTGGAACCGAATGCCATAGAGCTATATACTAGCTTAATACCCTGTCTAGCTAGAATACTCTATATAGCTGGAATATCTTATATACTTAGAATATTCTATATAACTGGAATATCTAATATGGCTAGAATACTCTATATAGCTAGATTATCCTATATAGCTAAAATTAGTATATTAAAGAACTATTTATATTACTTATATTATTTATAAATATTTATAAATAATATAAATAGAATATAAATAATATAATATTCTAAAAATCTAAATAGTAATAAATAGCTATTATATAATAATAATAATAATTATTTAAAAAAGATATTAATTAAATAGCTCTAGTAAAAATAAACTAGAACTTATATAAAACTAGCTAAATATTAATTTTTTATAATAATAAACTAATTATATTTTTTAGAATCTCGATTTCTTTTTAATTTTTAGCTTATTTATAAAATAATACTATTATCTAATTAGATAAAAACTTAATATTAGAATAATACTAGATAAAAGGCTTATCTAATTAGGCTAGTCTATTATATATAACTATTATATAGATATTTATTTATATTATTTATAAATAGCTTAAATAAAATATAAATAAAAGATAAATAGAATTTACTATTTTATTCTATTTTATTTATTTAATATATTAACTAAAATTAGTTTAAATATTATAAGAGTTTAATATATATAATTTAGAGAATTTAAGGCTATTTCTTTATTTACTGAGACATTGCTATATTAGCGGCCGTATATAAATATCCCTAATTTGAATTATATTTTGGCCGAATTAGGGATATTTATATATAGCTACTAATATAGTAATATCTCAATAAATGAAGGGATATATATAAGCTATTTGCTATTATAAAATAGTAATTAATTTAGTATATTTTATTTGGTTTATATTATAAATATATAATTCAAGCCTTTTTATTTAATTAATACTATTACAAAATCTAATTTTTATTATTTTATTAAAAACTATTTATATTTATATTTAATTCTATTTCTTTTTAACTAATTATTATTATTTAAAATATTAGTTTTTTAATTTTTAATTCTTATTTATATATATGAATATAAAAGTAAAAATAAATAAAATTAAAAATTAAAAAATTAAAAGAAAGTTATAATAAATATATATAATAATATATAAATAGATATTAAATATTATAGATCTAGTTTCCTATTTTAAATAAAGCTTATAATTAGAATTATATGAATTATATAAAATTATATTTTTTAATTAAATAAAGAATTTTATATATTTAATTAAATACTAGAAAATATATAAAGATTTTCTTTATATTTCTAGTTTTAGAAAGAAAAAACTAAATAATTCTTTATTAAAATCAATTCTTAGAATTAGTTTTATTTATATATTATTTTATAGGAATAAAAAATAAGAAATAAGTTTTAAAACTCGAGAATTATAAATAAAAAAAGTTTTATAATTTTAAGCTATTTATTACTAAATTTTAATATTATAGTCTTTAAATTATAATTTGTAAATAATATAAACCAGGTTTTTATATAAAGAAAACTTGTAATTTAATTAATTGAATGGAATTCTTTAAAGAAAAGAAAATAAAAGAAATAAAACTATATTTTTTTAAAGTATTTAAGTTCTATAAATAATATATAATTATTCTATTAATTTAAGAAAATATATTATATAAGCTTTTAGCTAAATCATAAATTAGATCTTGATTTATTATATTACTTTTTTCTTTATTTATAAATATTAATTCAATAAATATATAAATAAAGTCTTTTTTTATTAAATAATCTTTTTTTCAATTTTTAATATTATTATTTTTTTAAATATAAAATATATATAACTTTTTATTTTATAAATAGTTTCTTTAAAAGCCTTTAATTATATTTTATATATATTTTATTAAGAATTTATTTAATTTTAATTATAATTATAATTTTTATAAGCTATAATTATAATTATAAATTATTCTAAAACTAATTTAATTATAAGTTTATTATAATTAGCTAAAAGAGTATATTATAGTATTAGTTTACTAGTAATATATAATATTATTATATAATATATATTTAATAAAAATATATTATATTAATTATTAGATATTTCTCTTAAATAGTATTTAATTTAATAAAGTATTTATATAATAACTTTAAGTTTATCTAAATTACTAGTAATAATTCTTTTTCTAATATTTTATTAATTATAAATTTAATTAAAGCACTTATATTAAAGCTATAAATAATATATAAAGTTCTAAAATTAGAATAATTCTAGTAATTATCTTATATTTAATAAAGAATTAGTAAATAATATTAATATATTTAGTTTTATTTATTAGAACTAGAATATATTTAATTTAGAAAAAAAGCCTTTTTACTAGTTTTAAGAATTTTAATTCTTTAATAATATTTATAATTTATTATTAAATATATTTATTAAATATTTTTATATTAGTTTTCAAAAGTTTAATAGCTTAAATAATAAATAATAAATTATATATAAAGCTTCTAATTAATAGACTACTATAATATATTAATTTTAATTTTAATATTTCTATATAAAAATAATTCTAATAATATTTATATAAATAGTTTTTTTATTAAACTTGAAATTATAATTAAAAATAAAATATTTATATTTTTTAGTTAAGAATTTAGTTTTTTAAAGCTTTAATTATTTTATTTTTATAAAATTATTAATTCTAATAAATAAACTATTATTAGTTTAAAAACTAATAATTCTAAAGAATTATTTATTATAAAAAAACAAGAATTATAAATTAACTATTTTATAGAAAGCTTATTAATATAATAGAATTATTTTTTAAATTTAGTTTTTTAATAATATTATAATATTTATTATTATAATATTTATTATTATAATATTTATTATTATAATATTTATTATTATAATATTTATTATTATAATATTTATTATTATTAGTTTACTAGTAATATATAGTACTATTATATAATTATAGAATACTATTTATATAAGTTAGTAAAGTTATTATTTAGAAGTAAGGATTATAGTATTATAGTATTAATATATAATCCCTAAATTTGCTAAGCCTAAAGGAGTCTAGTCTACTAGTCGAGTTACTAATAGGATACGAGGTTATATAACTATATCCCGTATCTCATATTTCATTACCTATATTCTATTACCTATATCCCGTATCCCGTATCCTGTAATTATATATATAACTCCTAAAGAAATAACTATACTAATACTAGAAACTCTCTAAAAACGCGAAAAATAGTATCTCTCTCTAATTATATACAAATTCCCTAATCTGGCCTAGTACCAGATTTCTCAAATACTCTATATATCCATATTACTTCTAAGGTTTTGGTTATATACTAAAGGCCGCGGCCTTTTATATATAACTTCCCCTCCTATAATATCCTCCTATTTTATATATCTATTTTCTACTCTATTTATACTCGACCTATTTCTCTATATCTAATTATATAGTATTCGTATTAATTAGGCGCTTGAGGGTATTTATTAGCTTTAATTTCGTTATGAAATCGGCAGGATTTGATTCTCCCTTAATTTACTTGACTTCTGTAATTTCTTATTATTTATATACCTGGCAGAGGTATATTATATTAATTATTAGGCGTTTCTCTTAAGTAATACCCAATTTAATAAGGCATTTATATAATAACTTCGAATTCGTATAAATAACTAATAATAGTTCTATTTCTAGTATTTTATTAATTATAGATTTAACTAAAGTACCTATATTAAAATCATAAACTATACTATAAAGTTCCGAAGCTAGAACGCTTCTAGTAACTCTCTTGTATTTAGTAAAGAACTAGTAATATATTAGTATATCTAGTTCTATTTACTAGAACTAGAATATATCTGATTTGGGAAAAGAAATCTCTATTATTTATAAATAAAGTATTCGTAAAAATAATTAAATATAAGGACTTCTTTACTAGCTTTACAAATCTCAGTCCTCTAGTAGTATTCTCAATTTGCTATTAAATACACTTATTAAGTACCTTTATATTAGTTTCCGAGGGTTTAATAGCTTAAGTAGTAATTAATAGATTATATAAAGCTTTTAGTTAATAAACTAATATAATATATATTTCTCTTATATATTAGATAATATATTAGTTCTTAATAGAGAGATTTTAACGAATAGTACTCCTACTACTTATAGTAGTAGTATTTTTCATAGAAACGATTCGGAGGTTCTTATACTAGTATTCCTATATAAGAATAATTCTAGTAGTATTCGCATAAATAATACCTTTATTAAATTTGAGATTATAATTAAAAGTAAGGAATTTATATTTCTTAGCTAAGAACTTAGCCTTATAGAGCTTTAGTTACTCTGCCTTTATAAAATTATTAGTTCTAATAAATAAGGTATTATTAGTTTAAAGACTAATAATTCCAAAGAGTTACTTGTTATAGAATAGGTAAAGATTATAAGTCGACTATTTTATAGAGAGCTTATTAATATAGTAGGAATAGTAAGTCTTAAACTAGTAATTCCTAGCTTCCGGTATACTATATAGTAGTTTTATAACCTTTAGAACAGAATTATTCTTTAGATTTAGCTCTCTAGTA